TTTTGGTAAAGTCTTTTTTTTTTTTAATGAAACCACATTGCTTACCTCCTTGAGTAACGACTGCTTTTCACCTGGGCTGCTCCTTGCCAACTGTGCTGCACTTTGAGCAGAAAACAGCTATGATAATTTGCTATCTCCGCTTCCAAGACACATCACCAGCTCTCCCTGCCACCAATCGAGGTCAGAACTTTCCTTGACCAACTTTTACACTCATGAGTCCCTTCCTTTAGTGAATAATAAATTCATTTTTCAAGCCACCAAAACTGCCGTATTTCTGTGTGCCGGACTCCCTGGTTTTTTTCAGCTAATGCTTTTGAAAACCCAAGTCACCTAAAACAGGGAATATGAAACCTCCAGCCCAGCGTGTGGCACCGTCTCTGACCTACCAGTCAAAGCAGAAACCGTCTGCATGTTTAATCAATCACCAAACGAACGGCAATCAAATACTAAACGCATCAGCTGCGCTATTTGCTCACAACGCTCTATTAAATGATTTTGCAGAGGTTCTACAGTTGTAATTAAAATGTAATTGTAAAAAGTACAGTAGCATGGCTCTAACAATCAGAGGGTGGGACACCACCTATTCTGTGCATGAAAAAGCAGCAGCAGCATTAAAAAGGCACAAAAAGAGAAAGTTTACGCTGTTTATGCAGCTGGATAATATCAGGATAAAAAAACCCAAACAATACAGGTTGAGATAAATTATTTCCTCGCACTTCATTAGATGTGGATGTACATACACGGATCTAATAACTGCTAAACAACCCCAGCAAAGCAGGACAAGTTACTACACCGCGGCACTCGCTCTTGCATCCGCTGCTGTATAAGTAATGGGGTTTGCAGCCCTAAGCGATTCTGCTGATGGCTTCCATTCACAGCAGCATCGGTCTGAGCATCTACTCAGCCTGCATGCAAGCAAACCGCAGAGGATATTCCTCCTAGATGTTCCATCTGCATACACAGTGAGCTGTCAGCTGCCCTCTCTGCACAGCCTCCCCAGCCAATTCACGCCACCTGTTGTAATACCCTGAATAATATCAGACAAGATTTCATACTATGCATTGTTAAAAATACATCAACAGAAACTTTGGGCCGTTCTGTTTGGGAAACACTTGTCAATTTTTCTCCTTTTTTTTCTTTCCCAGAATGGAAGCTTTTTAGAGCCAGAATTATAGATGCGTTCAGTGTCTGAAAAGCACTTTTGGGTGCTATCGCAATATAAATTATAAATTGCACACAAAAAACTGTTAAAAGAATGGTACAGTTTCAAAATCGAGCGCTTGGAAGTTCTGAAAAGCCACAGCCACGGGTCTGTTTGGCCATCCCGTGCGCCGGGCTGCGGGCCCCACAGCAACACCCTATTGCTTTCCTCTGATGAGACCCCCCCCCAACCCCTTCATTCAACTCCCAGGGTGGATATTGCCTGGTGAAGTAATATTTTGCTCTGTCCTCCTTGTTCCGTGTGCGACATCTGCGGCTTATTAACTGCAAAGTCATCCCACCGGGCTCTGTGGATAGGATTAATCGCTTCCTCAGGGGCTGTGCCCTGGGTTCAGACCCCCGTTTTGAGCCATAGGGGTGCTGCAAGCCCCCAGCACATCGCCATTCGGGGGGTCTGCACGGCGCTGTCACCCACCACCGTTTTCGGTGGCATTTCTCACCCACTCGCCGCGCCAGGACCTCGCAGAGCGGCTGCGGCGCTGCTCCCCTGCAAAACCCTCTGCGTTTGCTGCTCTGACTCCCACCCCTCTCCACCCCTTTCAAACTCCTACTTCATCCTCCCTTCCCAATTCATTCTCCGCTTCTGTCTCGTACCTCGCACGACCTAACGAATACCCACAAACTCCCAGAATCAGTCTTACCCCCACGATTTCCTCCTTCCTCTTTTCCGCGTTGCTTCTTCTCCAAGTGTCCTCGCCGCAGCCCCGTCCCGAACCCTCTCCTCCCTGCCTCCCCACCACGAAGCCCCTCTGCCCTTCCCGCTCTCACGCCGCCGCTGACCGCCTCCCCGCCGCAGCGGGGGCAGCCCAGGGACCCTCTCTCCTCCCGTCAGGGTGGCACCGAACCTCGCCGCGCGAGCAGGAGGAGAAAAACCCGGCTGGTGAGCGTTCACCCCGCCAGCGCAGCCATAGACTGCGGCGTGCCTGCGACAGGCACGGACATCAAAGCCGACAAATTCAAACCAGACTCTGTTGAGTTTGTGTGAACTCGGCTTTTACCCAGACGCTTATAGGCTGGGCCAACTTTGGCCTTTTTTTTTTTTTTTTTCCTCTGTATTTTACTTTGCTACTTGAAGCAACAGAAGATACAGCCCTGAGAAAAAGGCCAACTCCCTCATCAAGTGCCAGGCCCCTTCTCTTAAACACGGGCACAGCAGGCTCCTCACCCAAACGGCGAGAACAACTCGTAACATGGGGAAAACGGGATGATTTTTCCTAATCTTGTTCTTAGAAATGGTTGAAAATTTTTTTCCTGAAATAAGAAAAGAGAGTGCAGCCAGAGACAGACGCCCAGTATGGAAAACGGCTAAAACCTAGCCATCTTGCACAACTCGGAGCCACTGGAAAGTTCACGCAACCATCTCTTTGTGTGAAACCATCCCACTTTGGCTAAGAAGGATGTACGCCACCGCACAGTTGCTTTTCATCAGGCAGCACGAAAACTCTGGGTTTCTTACTTCCAATCTACAACGCGCAGCCTAAAAAATCCACCATGACCAGTGACAGACTTGATAGAGATCATGCAAATCCAGCTGTGCCTAAAAATGCTATGTTTCTGGATAGCTCAGTCATACAGTTCCTCCTGATTTCCATACTGCTGGTTTTTTAACATAGAGCTACCTCCCTGGTAACAAAATATTTCCGAATCCTTTCATTCTCCCCCATACACAGTGTAGTGCTCCCAGTGGAGCCAGTAGGGCACGATCGCGATGCTGCCGTGTGCTTTCCGGTTAAAAACGCCTTACACAATATATCCAGCTGAAATTATTCTCATTGTTTCCTGACAAGATAATGAATAGTATGAACTGCGTGCTCTTCCACTTACAGTCAAATGTTAATTTGATCAAAGACCAGTGGTATGAATAGCAAAATTAGATACTTAGAAGCAAAAAAGTATAATCTTTCCCTTAAAGTTCCACCAGCCGAACTATATTTCCTTATTACACACTGAATTCAGGGCTATACGTGGCAAAATCTTCCTATGGGCTGGGAGTGTATATTATCCCAAGTAATTCTGCTGAAGTTAATGAGCCCCGTTATTGCAGTAATCACCACGCTCGGTTTTAAGCGCGTGAAGCTGACGTTCTTACCCACAAGCTGGCGCAAAGGCTGTGTTTCTTGGAGTACGAAATCAATTAAAGCCCACTGGTTCAATGTGCTTTAACTGACTCACTTTTGAGATACAAAAATTTATTTGAAAACCTTTACACGGCCCTAGCCTTCACAGAACAACAGCAAGGTTGTCAGAAAATGTGACACATGGAAGACTCTTCAGGGCCCTGGCACCTATTTTTTTCCAGCAGTGGAGAGCGACAGGGAAAGCAGAAAACAACTCCATCAGAAGAGGTTGGGTTGTTCTCGTTCTGGTCTTCGGGCTATTGCACTTGCCTTTGCGCACTGAAAGGCTGCCAGGTGAATGTATTCCCAACTGAAAGCCGAGCATTTACAGGAAACCCCTGTGTTCGTATGAAAATCATATTAACCATATTTTGCCTTTATACAGCATTTCTCCATGCAATGATCTCAACGCGCTTTATAAAGACAATGTTATTATTCCCATTTTACAGACACTGGAATGACAGGATGAAGCGAATGGCCTCATCTGCCATAAACCGGCCTAAGTTGGCTGAATGTGGGGGGGCTATGGCACGCCACGGTAGCAGAGGATCTTGGCCACTCCAAAGGGAGTTGGAAACAAACGGCAAATACCTGGCAGCATCGGTTAGCCTTGGTGCGGACGAAGGAGTCATGTCGAGATGAATACCCTGCTCTGCTGGAAACATAAACCCAAGGCCTGCCTTGTCACTGCTTTTCCCACCGCCGGTGGGTCACAGCAAAACCCTCCCGCACAGCACTTGTACCACCTAGACTGGGGGGCATTTGTGTTGCTAAGTGAAAGAGGAGATTTTATTCCATCTGCTGCTCAAAAACATACATATTTTATAGCAATCTCACTT